CTCAACCTTAGACATTTATGGCTCTACGACTGCATAATGCACCCCTACTTAGCCTCGAGGCCAGACCATATTTAAGAGGATGCATGTCATGATACTGGTATCGAATATAGTGTCCCAACGCATTGTACCAAATGGTGTGCACCAGCTGTTAAGATGATAATAGAGTAATTTCCCCAAATCTAATTGTAGGTGAGTGAACTTCACTCTCAGTAACAGATGATGGAAATGAAAATTATAGCCCACTTCTAAATGGATAGTGATAATTTTGTTTTCCATCACAATAAAATGCCGTCGCAGTCAGGAAGAAAGCGCTAGGCGATTGCTCACCATAAGTAAAATCACCTCTTGGGAGAATGAGGTACCAACAAACTGTCAAACACAGGAATATTCAAAAGACTGCAATTGCTAACAGCTGCAGATAATAGCCCCATGATTTCTGAATACATAAAACTGCAAGTCATTAACAAAGCAGTGGCTTGTGGGGGTGACTCATGTGAAGTCAGTGGATAGTCCGAGCTTGGTTTCAAATGACCAGGTGTCGGCAGCTCAGAAGCTACCATCAAAATTGGTGCCATAGCTGGCTATATCGCCGGAGGTCCCAAAGAGCCAATATATGTTACCATAAATAACTACCTTATGCTGAGTCAGATCATTGGCAGTCTAGCCCACGATCCTTCATTTTAATGGTAGTGACACCCCAAGCACTCTCCAGCAGAGGCTGTGAGCAGGGATGAATGAATCTGCTGGTTTTGGTTTCTCTCAGTTTGTCATTTTTCCAATTTTAAGTTCAGTTCTCCCCCTTTTCACATAACCTTGTGATTCTTTTATTTAAAAAATCCTCGTGAAAATTCGCTAGCATTTTACTGTGAATTTCACCTAATTACTCATTTTATATGTAATTTTACCTAAAATACACGTTTTTGCAAAGCAAATTTTCCTAATATAATACATGCACATTTTCACTAATAGATGTAGTGTTATGTCACACTTTACCCTCTTATGTGCAAGTTGCTGTTGTTTTAAAGTTACCTGGCTGGAGAAATGTATTGTAAAATTTGGTTAATGGCTGTTTTTGTGTGCCCATATTAGGTTGGTTTAACTTTTGAAGTGTGAACTGAACTGAATTACTCCCTCATCCCTACTCCTGAGATCATATTAAACATAGATCATCGAGGAACTGATCATAGGGCCTTCTGGGACTACTGAGTTTTAGCCCCTATGCCTAAAAATTTTCAAGATACATTGGTCTCCTCAAGGTAAAGTTATCCCATCGTGATGAAGAACTCTGTCTGATTTGTTAGAAAAGTACTCTTTGATTCATTGATATTGTGGTCTACTCACGATTCTCACATTTTGTTTTAACATCCAACAATTCCTCTTATAGTCTCCTTGCTTTATCTTCACCTCCCATTGGTATTATTTTGGTGCAGCAACTAACTGTCCATGCAGCAGTCTAGTGCACCAAACACTTGTTACATTGAATTTGCCACTACAAGTGATTCAGCACCACCTGACAATTGGGAGTGACTGATCTCTGGCAGGCACAAGAATCCTTGCAACCCTTCAAGATTCTTACTGATCTTCATGCCTCAAAGCCACATTTAATAAGTTCTACACTGAAACACCTTTGACATTTTTAAACAAAGCCCACTCCACCAAACCAAAGAATTTGCAGGCCTTAGCAGCAAAGGAGAGTGGCTTGAGTTGAAAAAGATACTGATGAAAACATCACAGCTGAATTTTCCCATAAGAAAGCAATGTAGGGGGAGGGATGGGAGGAAGCTGTTGTCCAAGAAGTGCGATTTGCTTTGCCTTTGTGGATGCATCTGCAAGGGGAGGGGGTAGCGTTGTTTGGCCAGATATGTGACATTTCCCTCTGGATGGAAGAGTGGAGAAAGGTCAGTAGATAACCAGGGAATCTACATTTCATTCTAGAGTTTGGATAAGGGTAAAACAACCAGAGTCTTATGCTAGGGTGTCTATGTGTGCTATTTTACAAAGGATATTCATCTGTTTGAAGGGATGCCCAGTCCAGCCCAAGCCTGGTTTAAAGTTAAAGGACTGTGACATTGCCTGTCAACAGTTCATACCTAGACAACAGACTGAGCAGGCATAGGTCTCCCTGGTCGCAGTTTGCTCCACTACGATGACATTGCTCACCCTTGTTGATTATCTTTTTCAGGAAAGGGGAGTATAATATTGCCTGTTCTCCTTGACCTGTCAGTGGCTTGATACTGTTGACCACAGTTTCCTGCTTGAAAGGTTCCATGGATTAAGAATTGGAGGCACTATTTTACAAAGGCTCCACTCATCCCTCAGGGCCATTTTGAGAGAGCAGCCCTAAGGAATTCTTGATCAACACTATCAGAACTGGCCTGTGGTGCCCCATATTGTTTAATCTTGCCTTCTATGCTGTTCAACATGTATATGAAGCTACTATGTTACACAGTCATACCTCGGGATATATATATATATATATATATATATATATATATAATGATATTTATTAGATACCTCGGGTTATAGACGCTTCAGGTTGCGCGTTTTCGGGTTACGGAGGCGCCAAAACACGGAAGTACCGGAACGGGTTGGTTGCTTCCGGGTTTCGGTGCTCGCACATGCACAGAAACACTAAATCGTGCTTTGTGCATGTGCCTCCTACACGGATCACGTTTGCAACCCGAGCACCAACTGTACTAGACTGCAACAAATCTATATGGAGCTGCAGCTAATTAACCATTGAAAACCCAGGGTTCACACATACTTTGACTCTAAGTAACTTTTGTAGAGAAGGGAAGGGGCTTCCTTAGGGAGTGAATAACATGACACCAAGTCCTTTGAACTTTTGTTTATTCCTCCTGGTTTACCATTATGTGTCTGCAAGATAAATTTGAAGTGAAGAGGACACAACCTCAATTTTGTGAAGACCTCATCTTTATCTTTACAGTTCCTGGATCACAAATCTACTCATGTCTGATTGAAGTTTGGTTTCTGCTTATAGGAGATGGATAAACAGGCCTTCTGACAGCCACAATGATTTGTGTGCTGATTTTTTATGCAATAATTAGGGTCAGGATGCCAGCTGTTCTTTCCAGGTCACGTGTGAGATGGGACGTGTACCAGGGTTACAGCTAGTTCATGGGGGGAATGACTTCTACCTCAAATTTATGCCAGGTGTACCAATGCCATGTTCCACAGACTAGCGCCCATCATTACAGATGTAGCACTGTAAGTAAGGTTAAGCAGGAGAGCATCCAGCCCCTTTACTACCTTGTGTATCCAGTCTAGCTCATGCCATTCAATTTCTCTCCTTTTTATTTCTTATCTCAATTTGTTTATGAATATCCTAAAACATATCCCAATACTCGTCAGAAACCTATATTAATAGGACAGACACCACCCTTCCCTTCTTCTGTATTGCAATTCCCTTCCTTTTTTATATCCTCCTTAAATTTCCACTCTCTAAACTTCAGGGTTTCCATAACACCATGGTTAGACTTGTCTTTGTGGCTCATGATGGATGTGGGCTATAAAGTATTATGATGATGCTTTGAATAGAGGCTGATGCATAAAAATAAATGCCTTGTGTTGTATAGCACCGGAACATCTCTGTGGATATACCACTTTATTCTGTGCCATCGGGGGATCTTTTCTGTCAGCATTGTTTAATTCCCTCCATTTGAGCCATCCCTTCAGTTTGGCCAAAATGTGGCACTAGCTTTCAGATACACTCAGTACTGGCTGCCTGGGTGGTGCCAAACCAGTCTGATCCTGTGGCCAAATATGGAGGGCCGACGGTGCCTTTTGTTTGCTTTGCTCATAAAGAACAGAGGTTACAGCAACTTCCACTTTATTTCCAGGTCCAGGTGATAAAATGGCCTCTCTTCTCCGGGAGGGTCGTGAGCAAAAGCGGGAACGTTCCAGAAGCCAGTTTGTCTGAAAAGGGCAGGGGAGTCACGCCACAAACTCATTAAAATGCATTGTCTGTCACTTCTTATTGCTTAATTATAGCTTGTGGACTGTTAAACCAACGGAGCAGCCTGACTAGCTGAATATTGCTAAGTACTTTATAAGGACCATTCATGCGTGAGCGTTTTTTTAGCATTCTCATCTCTGTTGCTTACTCTTTTGGAAGCATGTTGCTGTTTCCAATATTATGCATTTTGTGGAGTTGGAGCAGAATACTCGGAAAGCTCCCACCCTCCTCTCTCTGTCTTTCTGCCTCTTTGAGAGAACTAAGAATGTGCTGCATAGTGCTGGTACTCGGTGCTGTTCAGTAGCTTCTTGTGTGTGTTGTCAGTTCAAATCTAAAAGGATTTGCTTGCAAGAGTAGTAGCTGCAAACAAGACGCTGCATTATTCACAATGTGGAACGATGTTCTTTCCAGTGTTGTCTACTGACGAATCAGCAATCCACAAGGCTACTGGTATGCAGACCAGGGCTGGACCTCTTGTGACCCACACACAGCCCAACTGCTCTGTATTGTGTGGGGCCAGTCAGGTGTTACTTTTCCCAGTGGCGGACCTTGGGGTCTCAAATTTCATCAGCACCCTGGGTGACGTCAAAATTTGGTATCCCCCGCCTCCTCAGGCCTTCTTTCTACATCATAGTTGTGACGCCCCACCCTAAATCCACCTCTCACTTTTTCTCACTGGCAAGACATAGGACATCCATAGATCACACAAGCAGGGAATGAGGACCTGAATTCCCTTCTCCATTGCCTGTCCCAAGCGTTGAGCTCACATAGAACCATTCAGAACTCCACTTTGTGAGACCGGCTTCAGTCTCTAGTGCAGGCACGGCCAAACTTGGCCCTCCAGCTGTTTTGGGACTACAACCCCCATCATCCCTAGCTAACAGGACCAGTGGTCAGGGATGATGGGAATTGTAGTCCCAAGACAGCTAGAGGGCCACGTTTGGCCATGCCTGCTGTAGCCAATCAACAACAAAGCAAGTGTTGCTAGGTTATTGCGTTCTGTTTTTTCCTGCCTTTCTCTCAAGCCAATAGATAGAAAAACAAGGGGCTCATCCATCCCCTCCACATCAAATCCAGTTTTTTCTCCACGTCTCCTGCTTAACTTGGGGACCCAAACTGACATGACATATTATATGGACATAACTGGCTCCTGACATTATCTTCTTTACTTCAAAGGAGCTGGACAGGAAGTGGGTATGCATTAATTTGATCAGAGGATCAGTGCTGGGGGCGGGGAGAGGAGGGTGTTTAACCCCTTCTTTCCTGGCCATTTCCCTGCTGTAGATCCCACCTGCCCAACATGCTGCCATCGGCTGATATCTTGTATAGCACCTCGGTGGTATTTTTTTATATAAAAAAAAAAAATGGAAAGCCAAAATCAATTAATTAAAGTGCATAGAAGGTCTGGGGTACATGCATCAGTAGAACCACTAATCATAGAATCATAGAGTTGGAAGAGACCACAAGGGCCATCGAGTCCAACCCCCTGCCAAGCAGGAAACACCATCAGAGCACTCCTGACATATGGTTGTCAAGCCTCTGCTTAAAGACCTCCAAAGAAGGAGACTCCACCACACTCCTTGGCAGCAAATTCCACTGTCGAACAGCTCTTACTGTCAGGAAGTTCTTCCTAATGTTTAGGTGGAATCTTCTTTCTTGTAGTTTGGATCCATTGCTCCGTGTCCGCTTCTCTGGAGCAGCAGAAAACAACCTTTCTCCCTCCTCTATGTGACATCCTTTTATATATTTGAACATGGCTATCATATCACCCCTTAACCTCCTCTTCTCCAGGCTAAACATGCCCAGCTCCCTTAGCCGTTCTTCATAAGGCATCATTTCCAGGCCTTTGACCATTTTGGTTGCCCTCCTCTGGACACGTTCCAGAGGAATATAATAACTCCATTTGCATCAGATAGACCAAATCCATACCCAACCTCTGCATGTTTAACACATGATCTGAAGGGGAAGTCATAAGTGTGTTGGCCTGATTGTGATTAATAACCTCCTTGTTAAAGTGCCAAATATCTGAAGCATATCTGGCAGGATTTTGCTGAAACCGTGACTATTCACAACTTTAGACTGACCATATTGCATAGCTCATACATAAAGGGCACCCAGATAGGCTCTGCAGAGAATCCTGTTGGTGAGATACAGGACAACATTTCCTGCATCTCAATGCTTCTGATTTTAGACTTGTGGACACATTGCACTAAACACAGGTACACACTCCCTCGACATGGGTATAAGTTGTGTGACAGGTGATGCACCTGTTGCTTTGTACGGTTCAACAGTTCTGTGCACAGGTACACAGACTGTGTAATTGCTGAATGTTACATGTGAACATAGAATCATAGAATCATAGAATCATAGAGTTGGAAGAGACCACAAGGGCCATCGAGTCCAACCCCCTGCCAAGCAGGAAACACCATCAGAGCACTCCTGACATATGGTTGTCAAGCCTCTGCTTAAAGACCTCCAAAGAAGGAGACTCCACCACACTCCTTGGCAGCAAATTCCACTGTCGAACAGCTCTTACTGTCAGGAAGTTCTTCCTAATGTTTAGGTGGAATCTTCTTTCTTGTAGTTTGGATCCATTGCTCCGTGTCCGCTTCTCTGGAGCAGCAGAAAACAACCTTTCTCCCTCCTCTATGTGACATCCTTTTATATATTTGAACATGGCTATCATATCACCCCTTAACCTTCTCTTCTCCAGGCTAAACATGCCCATCTCCCTTAGCCGTTCCTCATAAGGCATTGTTTCCAGGCCTTTGACCATTTTAGTTGCCCTCCTCTGGACACGTTCCAGTTTGTCAATGTCCTTCTTGAACTGTGGTGCCCAGAACTGGACACAGTACTCCAGGTGAGGTCTGACCAGAGCAGAATACAGTGGCACTATTACTTCCCTTGATCTAGATGCTATACTCCTATTGATGCAGCCCAGAATTGCATTGGCTTTTTAGCTGCCGCGTCACACTGTTGGCTCATGTCAAGTTTGTGGTCAACCAAGACTCCTAGATCCTTTTCACATGTACTGCTCTCAAGCCAGGTGTCACCCATCTTGTATTTGTGCCTCTCATTTTTTTGCCCAAGTGCAATACTTTACATTTCTCCCTGTTAAAATTCATCTTGTTTGTTTTGGCCCAGTTCTCTAATCTGTCAAGGTCGTTTTGAAGTGTGATCCTGTCCTCTGGGGTGTTAGCCACCCCTCCCAATTTGGTGTCATCTGCAAATTTGATCAGGATGCCCTTGAGTCCATCATCCAAGTCGTTGATAAAGATGTTGAATAAGACCGGGCCCAAGACAGAACCCTGTGGCACCCCACTAGTCACTCTTCTCCAGGATGAAGAGGAACCATTGATGAGCACCCTTTGGGTTCGGTCAGTCAGCCAGTTACAAATCCACTGAGTGGTAGCATAGTCAAGACCACATTTTACCAGCTTCTTTACAAGAATATCATGAGGCACCTTGTCAAATGCCTTGCTGAAATCAAGGTAGGCTACATCCACTGCGTTCCCTTCATCTACCAGGCTTGTAATTCTGTCAAAAAACGAGATCAGGTTAGTCTGACATGACTTATTTTTCAGAAATCCATGCTGACTATTGGTGATCACAGCATTCCTTTCTAGGTGCTCACAGACTGTTTGCTTAATGATCTGCTCCAGAATCTTCCCTGGTATTGATGTCAGACTGACTGGGCGGTAATTATTTGGGTCCTCTCTTTTCCCCTTTTTGAAAATAGGGACAACATTTGCCCTCCTCCAGTCTGCCGGGACTTCGCCTGTTCTCCAGGAATTCTCAAAGATGACTGCCAGTGGTTCTGAGATCACATCTGCCAGTTCTTTTAATACTCTTGGATGCAGTTCATCTGGCCCTGGAGACTTGAATACATCTAAACTAGCCAAGTATTCTTGTACTATCTCCTTAGTTATTCTGGGCTGTGTTTCCTTTGCTGAATCATTTGCTCCAAATTCTTCAGGTCGGGCATTGTTTTCTTTATCGGAGAAGACTGAGGCAAAGAAGGCATTGAGGAGTTCAGCTCTTTCTGTGTCCCCTGTTTGCATTTCACCATCTTCTCCTCTGAGTGACCCCACTGTTTCTTTGTTCTTCCTTTTGCTACGGACATACCCATAAAAGCCTTTTTTGTTGCTTTTAACCTCTCTAGCAAGCCTGAGTTCATTCTGTGCTTTAGCTTTTCTGACTTTGTGTCTACACGTGCTGGCTATTTGTTTGAATTCCTCTTTGGTGGTTTCCCCCCTTTTCCATTTTTGTACACATCCTTTTTTAATCTTAACTCAGTTAAAAGTTCTTTAGATAGCCACCCTGGCTTCTTTAGGCACCTTCCATGTTTCTGTCTCATTGGTATTGCCTGACGTTGTGCTTTTAGTATCTCCCTCTTAACAAACTCCCAGCCATCATGAACTCCCTTTCCTTTTAGTATTACTGTCCATGGGATCTCACCCAGCACTTCCCTAAGTTTTATGAAGTCGGCTTTCTTAAAGTCAAGAAATTGAGTCCTAGTATGCTTGGCTGCTCCTTCCCGCTGTATAGTAAACTTCAGAAGAGCATGATCACTCGCGCCTAATGATCCTTCCACTTCTACCCCACTAACCAGGTCATCAACATTGGTTAGGACCAGATCTAAAATGGCTGTTCCTCTTGTTGCTTCTCCCACTTTCTGGACAATGAAGTTGTCTGCAAGGCCAGTGAGGAATCTGTTTGACCTTATGCTCTTGGCTGAGTTTGACATCCAACAAATATCCGGGTAATTGAAGTCCCCCATTACTACTATCTCCCTTCCTTTTGCATGCTTGGCCATCTGTTCCAGGAAGGCATCATCTATGTCCTCCGTTTGGCTTGGGGATCTATAGTAAACTCCCACAATGAGGTCACTGTTATTCTTCTCTCCCTTAATTTTGACCCAAATGCTCTCACTTTGGCTTTGAGGTTCTAAATCTTGGATCTCTTCACAGGTATACACATCCCTGACATATAACACCACTCCTCCTCCTTTCTTGTCTGGTCTGTTTCTCTGAAATAGATTGTATCCCCCCATTATTACATTCCAATCGTGGGACTTATCCCACCAGGTTTCAGTGATGCCTATTATGTCATATTTAGTTTGCTGTACCAAGAGTTCAAGCTCATCTTGTTTATTTCCCATGCTTTGCGCATTAGCGTACAGACATTGAAGTCCATTAATCATTCCCCCGTGACTCTTATTTAAGGATTTTTTCCTCCCACCACTAGGTCTGTGTGCTGTTTGCTCCATTTGGTCTATGACATTTGGATGATCATCTTCATCAATTGATAGACTCCTACCTTCAGGAGCACTGTCTCCCTCCCCACATTAGTCAGTTTAAAGCCCTCCTGATGAGGTTTCTGAGATTTTTGGCAAAAACATTTCTCCCAACCGTTGTGAGGTGCAGCCCATCGCTTGCCAGAAGTCCATCTTCAAGAAACTGCAGCCTGTGATCTAAGAATCCAAACCGTTCCTGTTTACACCATTTGCGAAGCCAGCTGTTCACTTCCACTATTTTCCCCTCTCTCCCTGGGCCACGTTGTTCAACTGGGAGGACAGATGAGATCACAATTTGTGCATTTAATTGCTTCAATTTCCTGCCCAGAGCCTCGTAGTCTCTTTTGATCTTCTGGAGGCTATTGCTTGCAGTGTCATTGGTTCCCACATGAACCAAGAGGAAGGGGTATTTGTCAGTGGGTTTTATGATTCCTTGCAGTCGTTCAGTTACATCTTGGATCTTAGCCCCGGGGAGACAGCACACTTCCCGAGACATCTTGTCAGGCCCACAGATCACTGCTTCTGATAGGTGTCCAAGTAAAGTCGTACCTTGGTTCTCAAACGGAATCCATTCCAGAAGTCCGTTCGACTTCCGAAAATGTTCGAGAACCAAGGCGCAGCTTCTGATTGGCTGCAGGAGATTCCTGAACTCAATTGGAAGCTGCAAAAGCAGTGTCGGATATTTGGGTTCCAAAGAACGTCCGCAAACCAGAACACTCACTTCCGGGTTTGTGGCATTCGGGAGCCAAAACATATGAGTACCAAGACATTTGACAACCAAGGTATGGCTGTATACTGCTCTACAATTTGTGTAGACAGTTACAATTGTACACACTTTGACTGCAACACCCCTAAGCCATCTAATCATTTTTTCTTCAAATCAGTGAAACTGGCTACCATCTCTTCTTGTGGTTGGTAGTTCCACAGGCCAGCAGCTTCTATATGCACTTGCATTCATGCGCATGTTTTAAATGGGGCCGTTGCTAATCCAACCCATTTTTTGTGATATTGTTGTTCAAAAAATTGTGGCTACCGGGGCATCAGGCATAGAGGAAATATCGCCCCACCCCCATGCCACTATAGTGTTGGATTTTTACGCTCTTAGGGCGAAATTTTGTCAAATAAATAAATAAATGCTCTCCCTTCCAGTGGGATGGCTTTGTAACCTGATGGATTTCAAGTGGAAGAACCTGAAGTTGAAAGAGCGTGAGTTTTTTTTTTTCCTTCAAAAAAAGGGGCTGCTTTTGAACAGCTAACAAGTTTAAGGGAACAATTTACGTGATTACCTGGAGTTACAGTTAGATGAAAGAAAGATGTTTCCCCATTTAATATCTCGACAGGGATAATAAGCAGATCAAAGGTCTGAGCAAAGAATCAGCAGATACAGTCTCTTGTTGATGCCTGCAACATAAATGCTAGAAGGGGCAATCTGTTTTAGTTATGCTTTTGAGTACACGTTAAATCTAATTTTAGTGCACAATAAAAATGAATGGTCCGCTTTCAAAGGCACTGCATCTGCTGAGTACAAGTTTCCATGCCAGATGGTTTTTGTATTTTGTTTTGTAGTTGTTTTGCATTCTGCTAATTCTCACCCTATAGTGCAACATGGTGAAGTTGACACACTTAAAATGACCTTGCAGTGAGGATTCTCAATCTCATGGTGACTATTTTTTTTTTTTTTGGTAAAAAAAGGAGCAACCTTTCAGACCCCCATGGTGAACAGTAATAGCTCTCTTTCCTTATATACTTCTTTCTTACAGCCGCATTGTTGAGTTGATTCATTGGTTAGATGCATCTATTTAAAACCTTGTGATCAGTTAAAAAGGAGCTCGTGGTTAATCATGGTACAGTAAAAATATCTTTTGAAATGAGAAAAGAGGAAAGCAGAGAGACACACACACAGAGAGAGAAATACATGGGGCCGCCTCTGAAGATGGTTCAGCTGGTGTAGAATTCAGTGGCCAGGCTGCTCCCTGGGTTTGAGAATACAGCACCAATCCTGGTCCAACTGCACTGGCTGTAACTTAGTTTCCGTAGCCACGTCAGTGTGCTAGTTTTGACCTATAAAGCCTCAAGGACTGCCTTTCTCCATATGAACCAACCCGGATCCTACAATCATCATCCTAGGTACTTCTTTGTGTGCCTCCTCTCCAAGAGGTCTGGAGCATTAAGTATAATTGGTTTAATTGACACTGAAATGGTGAATGCCTGTGTAATGGTGAAAATGTTTAACATGGGGAGAATCCATTGAAGCTAAATTAAGAGCAAGAATGGAACTCTGGGCTTTAACTGAGTTGATAATTAACTGTTGAATGTATTCTGCTACCTGACACGTGAGTGTTTAACCTTAGATCACATGGGAGGCTATTGAATTGCAAAGCACCATTCTGAAGGGAGTTGCCTTTAGTTCTTTGTCCCCAGGCTCCATGGAGTAAGGATGTAAATCAAGGTCTCCAGGAAAACAGCTCCAGGCAAAATGAATGCTGTAAGGAGGGAGACTTTTGCTTATACATCTGTTTGGAGCATTTCATATTTTGTAAGATGTTGAGTCTATGTGCTGGACTAGCATATGCTTTATGGAACTGTTTGGATATATCATTTACTGTTTTTTGTTATGTTTTGAAGAAGGTTCTGCAAATAGAGTTTTCATTAAACTTGTGGGCCTTGACAATGTTTTATTTCCAAAAAGGAGTCAGTTTTTATGAATCCAATCATTTCAAACTATGCAGTACAGTGGTACCTCAGGTTAAGAACTTAATTTGTTCTGGAGGTCCGTTCTTAACCTGAAACTGTTCTTAATCTGAAGTACCACTTTAGCTAATGGGGCCTCCTGCTACAGCCATGTGAATTCTGTTCTCATCCTGAAGCAAAGTTCTTAACCCGAGGTACTATTTCTGGGTTAGCAGAGTCTGTAACCTGAAGCACCTGTAACCCGAGGTACCACTGTATTAATATTTGCAATATGGAGAGCAGCAATGCAAGAATAGGCCTTTTTCTGCAGTGGCTCCTGTTTGTGCAATGCTCTCCCGAGGAAGTCTCACTTGGTGTCTTGCCTTGGTATTGTTCTTGTTGCTTTCGACCTGCAAATGAAACATAACTGTTTGTTTTCCCCACCCCTGCCACTTGCATTTTTTTTCCTTTTACAATGAAATCAGTGGAATGGAAGAGTAACTTTTGTGATTCACACAATTATTTACTTAACTCATGTAAATCACATTTCACCACAGTGGACAGAAAGATGAATAATGTGGTTTTGGGTAGAATATGAACTGCAGCAGAAGAGAAATAGTGCTGCGTGAAGCAAACACATGCTGCAACGGAAAATGGTGCCTTTCATATACCCTAATCTTTAATATCATCATATTTCTATGGATTGCTGGGGATGTTCTTATATACAAAAGTAAATTCTGTGCAAATCAGCTCTGTGGGAATGTGGTATTTCTGTATGTCTTCAAAGCTCTTTAGATTCTGAGAGGCGAAGAGACCTTTATAAACCATTAACATCCTTAAAACATTGTGGGTTTCCTTTCCTTTTATTTTATTTTTTTTGGTTTGCACAGAATTTTCTTGGAACTTTCAGCAGGAGATGGTGTTTCTGACATTTAAGCCTGAAACCACTTAAATAAATACAAGCTAAATGAACACATTTTATTGCCCCAGTGTAAACAGTATATAATCCCAGAAAATTTTCCTTGGCTGCTTCGCCTCTCCCCATATGCAGCAGCAAATTTTATGGCATAAACAGCCAAGATATATTAGTGTGTCCCAGGAAGCTACCAGTGGTTTACTACAGTTGCCATAGCAATGGTAAAACAACTTGGCTGATGGCGTGGAAAACTATTTGTACAAAGAGCTAGCTTTGCTTTTGTTCCTTTTGTTCCTTTGGTCTTATGTTCTGTGTTAACATGCTCCTTTAAATTGCTTTATAATCAGCTTCTAGGAATGATACATTTTTAGGGGTTGCTGGATTTGCAAAGGAAAACGTTTTGGTGATATGGCAAGTTGCTGTCATACCTTTGAACAATGATTAATGCTCAAGCTACATTCTTTTCCCTTGCCTTTCCCATGAGCAATTGTAAGTTTATCAATAAAAATAAAACCTTCTTTGGAATATACGTCCTTTTACCATAATAATAATAATAACAATTTTTTATTTATATCCCACCCTCCCCAGCCGAAGCCGGGCTCAGAGCGGCTAACAACAGCAAAATAATACAGCATTCTAAAATCAATTCATTATAAAATCAGTTCAAATCAAATTGATGGCAACCATTGGCCTATAGTTCTGTGAAGAATTACCAAAGGAGGGGGTCAGGCTGTGCCTTGGCCAAAGGCCTGGTGGAATAGCTCTGTCTTGAAGGCCCCATGTCAAGTCCCGCAGGGCCCTAGTCTCTTGTGACAGAACATTGCACCAGATCGCAGCCACAGCCAAAAAAGCCCTGGCTCTGGTTGAGGCCAGCCTAACCTCTCTGTGGCCCGGGACCTCCAAGATGTTTTTGTTTGAAGACCGTAAGGTCCTCCATGGGACATACCAGGAGAGGTGGTCCCGTAGGTATGAGGGTCCTAGGTCGTATAGGAAATATGGATCATGACCCAGTGGATCATGACCCAGATTGGATATTGGTCTGCTTCTGAATCCACAGTCCCGCCAATTCTAGTATGAGAGTTGCAACACTGTCTCTCTTCTGGTAAAAACTTTATTCACCATTTAAGAGTTCACAAAAAGTCCTCTGGGTATCCCCCATTCTGAAGCAGGGATGGAATGTTTGGGGATGAGACATGTACCTTCACAAAAATGTAAGTCCTGGGGTATATTTCTCCACAGAGGCAGCCCAATGTATTTTTGCTGCCTGAAGCAGAACAGTAAATGGTTCCCCCACCAACATGGCAAATGGTACCCAAGTCTGGTCAAGTTATATTGGCAGCTGAGGCAGAAAATCCCCCCTCCCACCCTTGGAACTGCCTCCCCAAAATACAATGAGTAAACTGAATAATTAACCATTTCCTGACCTTTTATGACAACTAAAATCAGAGCTTTCAGAGGCAGAGAGTTGAGAATAAGAAGAAAGTGGACAGTTGGAAGGAATTAAATGTCAAGGGGGAGTCCTCTCCCAACTTTTAAACATGCTGAAGGGGATCACAAGAAAATCCTTAGGTCAGTGGTGGAATAGATACTTTGTATGCAGAAGTCCTAGGAAAAATAAATGGTCCCAATACAAGGCTGCTTTCTATGTGGAAGACTAGTGGGTGATACCATGTTCTCTGTCCCAGACACTGAAAAGGATGGCACAGCTTATAAAATGTCTATACAGATCCTTTGCTGTGTAGCATCCTAACTTTGCTTGTAGTGATGGTGCTTTTGGACTGCAAAATACAGGTACAGGTTGGGAGGCAAAGGACCGCTAACTGCATAATTGGGACCACTTAATGTGCTCATGTAACCTGGGTTTTCACTGGGCCATTTCCATGAGTAATAGCCTAACTAAATAGTGTGGAATTATAGCAGGGTTAAGACACTTTCTTTATGATGAATCTAAGTCATTTCTAAAACAGAGTGACCCATTTTACTGAGATCACTGAGTTGGAAATGGAAGTTGATTCTTTTGTGTTAGGGAGTGCTCTGTTTGACTTGAAAATGAGAAGCAATTTAATGTTCTGAGTTCACATATTGAGCTCACAGGGTAAAACCATTTGTATATTGTGAGCTAATTAACTTCAGCACACACACACATCACTAGAAAAAGCAACCCAGCTCCTGTGGCACAATGTCAGCGTGATATTTGACCACGCATTCATACTTTTCTTTTTCTCACCTCCTGCAGAAATAGCCTCTGCAGGAAACCCTCCATTACAATTTGAAGCATTAAATCACCACCATCATGGGATTAAATTCAGAGTGTTATTACCAGTGTGGTGTTGCAGCTAGTGTTAGAAGAAGATCTCAGAGAGCTGGAATCCAAATCCCTGACGCTCAGTGGACAAGTCATTATCGAACTTTAGCTCACAGGAATGTTGTGGACGTAAGAAAATGAAACAAAACAGGGGTTGAAAAAGCATACACTATTAGGGTTGCCAGACCGCCAGGCCTCACCTAAAGCCTGCTGGTGGCAGATGAAGGGCTTGCATCTCCAGGTGGGTGACAGTCCCTTTAATAATGGAAAGAAAACATATTAAGACTAAGCATATAGCTTGTAAGCTTCAGCCCAGTAGGACCTGGCTGAAAATTATAGCATAGACATTTGGGGTCCAGGGGGTCTACCTTCCACTCCCTTCTCCCAATTACCCTCCATCTCCAGGGCCTGCCCTTTTGACATCTCCAGGGGCCACCCCTATGTCTCAGGTTTGGGTCCTGACACCTCAAGGATCCCACACACTGTATTCTTGTTACCTCAGGCTAAATACTTTGGAAATGTGTTTCTCAAAGTAGAATGTCATCCTGCCTTGTGGACATAACTTGGGAAGACAGGCAAACTAATATCAGTGTACTTGAAGAAGCAAAGATCACCAGTGTTGAAGCAAGAATTCTTCAACATCAACTTTGTTGGACTGGTCATGTTGTGCAGATGCCTGATGACCGTCTTCCAAAGCAACTACTCTTTTCCCAACTGAAAATTGGAAAGCGTAATGCTGGCGGTCAACAAAAGAGGTTTAAAGACTGTTTCAAAGCATATTTAAAAAAATTTAGTATAAACACTGACAACTGGGAAACACTGGCCTGCGAGCGCTCCAGTTGGAGAACAGCCTTTACCAAAGGTGCCATGGGCTCTGAAGACACTCAAACTCAGGACACAAGGGAGAAATGTGCTAAGAGGAAGGCATGCTTGGCAAATCCACACCGTGATCAACTCCCTCCTGGAAACCAATGTTCCCACTGTGGAAGGACGTGTGGATCCAGAATTGGCCTCCACAGTCACTTACAGACTCATTGTTAAAACCGTGTTTATAGAAGACAATCTTACTCGGCTACGAGTGATCGCCAAAGAAGAAGAAGATTGCTCTATCTAGCCTTAGCACCGGCTGCTCCGACATGTCAGCAGATCTCATAGGTTTTAGGCGGAAGAAGTTCCCAGCACCACTCTTTGAGATCATTTGGACTAGGTGGTCCTCGGATCCTTTCCAATTCTATGATTCTATGATTGCTTTAAAATATAGATGCATGGATCAGATCTGTGTTCTTGTGCACATGCTGAGCTGAAAGGTCCCTGTCTTCTGTTGCCATCCTGAGGATCATGGAAGTGCTGCTGCAAATGGCAGCTCAGAGTTCATGAATGACACCTTCAGAGCAATATAGTAGTGACTCTTGGCTAGATGTCCAGGAGAGCCTTGCTTTCATATTTCTCAAAGTCTGGTTGTAGAGGATGCACTTTAGTGCTCTGCATGTGGGAAAAAGCTTTAAAACACTTGAATTTGTCTCCTGAAGACTACCAGAACTTCAGAATCTCCTAAATGTTTAGGCAGGGGCGAACTCCAGTCCCAAATTACGTAGAATGAATGTCATGACTGCACACAGGGAAGTGTTATATGTTTAAAACCATGTGTGTGTTGTTTAGGGTCCCCCCCCCAACCAGAACCTGGTAGAACTCAGTTCTAACACCCCTTAGGTGGGTTCCAGTACCCCTCAAGTGGGTGCCTTTGCCATTCCATGAGAACAAGAGAGGTGTTCATGGGGAGTTCTTTTTCTAGAAAAATAGCACTGTTGTTATTGTTATCCTTCTGTCTTGAGACAATGGAGGAATGTGCTTTTTGGAGGTGAAGTCAAAGTCCTGGAAGTTTACAGCGCCTGCTGTGGCTATAGAGACTGATCTGGGAGAGACATGTTTTGTTGCAGCTGGGGTAGATGAAGGCATCCAGTTGTGCTACTGCAGATGCACCATGGTATTTCTCCTCCCAGCAGTCATTCCTCCTCCGGTCACTGCTGTGGATACACCTTATCCCATCAGGGAGATGGCTCCATTAATCCTTTATTTCTGGTGTTTTAATTTTCTTCCAACAGGAGCTTTTTATGTGGTTAGGGGGCCATCATATATATGACCTCTCCCTACTTATGCCAGGGGTTGCCAATGTGGTGCCCATGGGCACACATGTGCCCAAAGAGGCCTTTCCTGGTGCCCACAGGGGGGGTGTCTTCTCTGCCCCTTGATGAAATAATGTTTGAAACAGTTCTTTCACTTTGCAAATGTGCCCCTGGGTCCCCAGAGGGTTTTGACCTCAGCTCTATGCAATGTTGTCTCTGAATAAGCATCCTCCCTGTTTCCTTTCAGCTTGACCTTGGAAGCAGGACGTATGAGTGTCAGTGCTTGACGTACCTATCAGAGAAACGAATTGTGACTGAAAGCTGGCCAGAAAAAGAAAGAAAAGGGAAAGGAAATATCTTATATATGCCAGCAACTCCAAAGGCAGAATGACTGAGAACACAAGATCAAGACAGAAGATCAAAAGCCCCTTCTTTCCCTTGAAATGTTAAGTCTCAGTGCACGATTTCAGTGACCATGAATTGCCGTCATTAGCACGTTGCTGACAAGATATCAGTGCTCTCACATTTCTTTTAAAAATCTCAAGCATTTGACTGATTGTGGTGCTAATAATAGTGTGACACAGTAATTTTATTGTCAGGGTTATTCTCGGACGCGGTGCTGCCTCTGTCAATCTGTTGATGAATAAAAAGTTATGTAAGATATTATTACAGAACAGTTCAGAAGCAATTGCATTGAAAAGGTTGACAGACATGCTATAGCTACTCTTGGCTGTACGTGAATCTTAAAAAAAAAAAAACTTTCAGAACACAGTGTTAGCTTTCTTTTAAAAGGCAAGGAGCATCTCTAATTTGCTTTAGCAAATATTTAAGCTGTTTACCTGTATTGTTCTTTTTATCAGAAGAACTAGAGAGATACCTACCATTGTGATGGACAGGGGTTTGGAAGGGCTAGGAATCCGTGTATTACAGGCGTAATGGGTGGACAATGCAATTCTCTGGGTGAGGGAGGAGAGATAAATTCAGTTTAGTAATTTGTGCTTCTTGAAACCATATGCAAAATCCTTCAAAACGTATTTACCTCACAGAGTTGTTATGAGGCCAAAAACAGAACCATATATGTTACCAAGAATTCCACGTTGTGAAGATTCTTGCCACCATGTAAATGCTTATTTTTTTTTAATACAAGGATCAAAGTGACCTGCCACTATGCAAATATAATCTCAGCTACTCAACTGTATCAATTCAAGTTATTCAGTGGTAATCATGGAACAGGTGCAGAAAAGTTGAACTCTTAAGGCTGGACATTGAATTTTCAGCTTCATGAATCCTTAAAATCATGTAATGAATGGCTGCAGAGTTGCCCAATGAGGACTCCAGCATGTGGGGATGGAAGTGTTAGCTCTTCCCTTCTACAATGTGGGTTTCATGAAAATCACTCTAAGAAGGAAGCTTCCTTCCACACTGTGCCAAATCGCAACCAATGACAAATCGAGAATTGGGTGTGGTGGGGTGATGGTACTGCAGCATGGATGAAAAGCATTAACACCCTGCAGTGCATGTTCCTGATTGGGCCCCTCGTGTGTTTTTGTAAGTGAAGATGCTTGAAAAAATTGATTTATGTGAATTCCAATGTGAAACTGATCTGATCTACCCCTTCTAGACATATATGTGAATGGAAGCGCGAATTGTCCTTCACGTTTTTGTCCTCTGAATTTTGCATTACAGCTTTCGGCTCAAATTTGGAAATGCATACATTGAGATAAAATGCATCTTTAAAGTCTTATTTTGTGATCAGATAGCGTTTAGAGGTGCCTTTCCTTGCAGCTTTTTGTTTGTTTGTTTGTTTAAATGTACGCTACTGCAGAAGTGGGGCAGAATGGCCTTGTAAATGACATGCAAAATGAACCTGGGCCAGAAATGGTCTGATCCTTACAACCCATCAAGTCATGTGCACTTTGGTCCCCTGCAAACCACTGTCCCTTGAACCTTCTGGCAGCAAAGCAGAAGGGACACTAAGAACAACTTGTGTGTTTGTTTGTATACAACACAAGCATCCCTTATGTCTCATTGCACATTTCATTTTAATGTTAAGATCATTGTTTGTTTCGATGTAAAGCAGGCATTGTTCAGAACACTGGGAAAACAGGTGTTGTATTGGAAGCGAACAGGCGCCAAACTGTTTTTCTCTGACAAAGCCTAAATGGGGAAAACAATTCTCCATTTCCCTTCAACACCCCCTCCCCCCACCTCTCAATTGCTCATTTCCACTTGCTTCTCAAGCAGCCAAATGGAACCGGAAAAGAGAGCGCAGAATATACTGAATACTCCCTGATTGCATCAGTGGTCATGGATCTCTCGAAACATTCGTGAGCTTCAAAGCCTAATGTAGCTGCATAGAGGAGCTGGGGATTTTGCTGATCCTCTTGTGGGTGGAAAAGAGGTAGGGATTTTTTTTTTAGAAATTGCTTTCAACAATTGAAAAATGTTCCACGGGCACCTGAAGTGATTTAGATAGACAGTCTCGCCCTGCCATTATCCCCAGCTGTGGCATCACCTGCTGCACCAGGGGCATATTAAATGTATGATGTTTTTATTGCACTGCCTCAAGCAGTAGTACTTTGCAATATGAGAAGGGGGAGGGAAGAGAGGGAGGGAGAGAGAAATCATTAACTAGTAAATCCTCATGAAAATGGGTGGAAAATAATGTAGACTATAAATAACCCTCCCTTCATTTAATCCATCACCTAGGATTTTATGAAACAGGAAGGAAACCTCCCACTGATACATTGCAGATTTTAATGGAAGGGGCAAAGTGATGGTTTCTAACAGCCAGGTCACTGTGGGTTTTGAGAACTGGAGTCATCAGATGGAGTCTTGTTCTAGGTCACAACTCCACAGGAAGCAACATGGATGAGTGTTCAAAGAGAGCCAGAAATATCAAACTATTACTCCAAGTGCATGAGGACCAATGCCAGACAATACAGGTGAAGTATGTAAATAGTGTCCTGTTTAGTGATGGGTGAGGAGGCTGGGTCCTTCATGCATCCCTGCTGAGCATGGCTTTCAAACATCCGAAACAGATGTTCAAAGGGTCTGATTGGGAAAGGGAAAGGGACAGAAGGCACCAGAGGCTTCCACCGAAGAAGAAATCTTCAAAGTGTCTTCTTCTTCTTCTTCCTCCTGTCGGCATCACTGACAGTCAGTGAGAGGGAAGTTTTGCAAAGCTTTTAAGATTGCAAAAACTTAAACACAGAGTGGCTGTGAACAAAAACAACATGCCTGAAAATGAATGGAGAGTGCCTTGACTAGAAAACCCACAAGGCGGTGTGACCATAGTTACAAATACACGCAACAAAATCACTATACATTTATATATCCTAAATGAAGGACAAATCCCCATGATGCATTGCAAATGAACAAAAACTGCATGCACGAAAACATGAGGAACAAACCATTGAAGGCAGGAGCAGCTGGTACGGTGGTGTGGTGGTGTGGTGGTGTGGTGGTGTGGAGCCACCCTCCCCATGTCAATGTTGCTGCCACTTACTGGTATGGTGTGGGTGGAGTAGGGTGGCAGCAAGGTTGGGGTAGCACTGGCACACCAGTGGACCTAATATAGTGCTCCTGCTGGTGTGTTTGTGCAGCCCTGACCTTACTGTCACTCTGCCCCACCTCCATATCCGATCCCGGACTTAGGAGGTCGGTTCTCTAACATACCAACTCACCAAGCCAGCTGCGCCTGGTGGAAGGAATAGAAATCCATCTGCCCTTGGCTGACAATCTACAGTTTAGAGCTAGGAAAATGAAACTGGAACCAGTAGTGAAATTATTTCTCTGTGTTTTGCATGGAAGCAAGATAGATGCACCTTCCAAGTTGAGCATTTATGATGGCAGCCAATACATAATTTGTGACTCGGAGATCACAAAGCCACTGAGTTTTTCTTTCTTCTTCCTGCTAAAAATACTGATGCTAGATGTATCTTCCGAGAAGTAAATCAAGTGAATAATAAGGAAAATGCCTCTGTTAGCATAGCAGTAGTATTCTGCAGGTTCAGCACCTATAAAATATATTCTAGCTTGGGTCATCCTTTAACATTCATCCATTGAACAGAAAATAAAAATGTAGGTTACAGGCTTGCAGAAATGCCAGCAACCTAGATAAACGTATCTCTCATTACATTGCATCTATTGATGAAAGGGTTCTTTAATGGGGGATAACAGTGACAGTAACTGTGTGTGTGTGTGTGTGTGTGTGTGTGTACATACACATGAGCTATATATCCAAAAAGCACAGGATAATATGTCATATGTCACATCTTCAAGGATCAGCCAAGAACGCATTGCTGCCATAGGTGAAGGTCAAGATGTAGCCTGGTGGCATCAAAACAGCATGATTGCTCCATAGCATGGGTAGGCAAACTAAGGCCTGCAGGCCAGATCAGGCCCAATTGCCTTCTGGATCCAGCCCGTGGACGGTCCGGGAATCGCCGCATGGATTGCTAGCGCACACGTTCTTTCCCTCTCCTTCACACGAAGGTGGTGGTGGCAGTGCCTCCTCCCTCCCTCCTCCTGGCTTCTCCCCACCCTACTTAGAGGAGGAAGGGGGCTGCGCTTTGTTGGTGCCAGCAGCAGCAGCAGCACTCGAGTGGCCGCCATTTTAAGCAGCCCCTCTCCGGAGCCGCTGCCACCCCCTGCCGCTCACAAGATACAGGTAAGCAGCCACTGGGGCTCGTGGTACTCTTGCATTATTCCCCCCCCAAAAATATAGTCCGGCCCCCCACAAGGTCTGAGGGACAGTGGACTGGCCCCCTGCTGAAAAGGTTTGCTGACCCCTGCTCCATAGCATCTGAATTAAGACTAGCAATGCAAACTACGGGTCAGTGTCCGAATGCAGTTGTAGACTGGATGAGGGCCAGTAAACTGGGAAGATGGAGGCTCTGTGGGTAAATGGTTCCCTTGATCTGGAAAATGGGTCAATTTCCTGCCCTGGATGGGGTTGCACTCCCTCCGAAGGAGAAGGTACACAGCGTGGGAGTGCTCTGGGATACATCTTTCTCACTAGAGGCCTTTTATCTGAGACTTCTCCAGCATGGAAGTCGTCAGTGCTCATCCCTCTCCAAGCCTCTCCTGGTTCTAGGAGACAGTGGGGCAGAAGAAGATGGCGAATCTGCTGACCTGTCCCTTGTCTGAGCTGTCCCTTCTTCCTCTGCCATATCCTGTGTGCTTTCCTCCATCTTGGACTACCCCTACTCTCCCCTCTCCCCTGCCTCCTATCTTGTGGGTGACATGACACCCCATAAATTATTGGTCTCCTCTCCTCAGTCACCTCCCTGGTCCCCTGCCTCTGCCACACACTCTTCAAAGCCCTTCCAATCCCCAACAGCAGTCTCATACAGTGGAATACTGTTGAAACAGAGATTAGGCAGGCATTCTTGCTGCTGATTTTCAGGCATCTCTGAAAGATTCTTTTATGCTGGCAGGGTGTATTCGAAACCCTGGTCTTGCTATTGAATGAAATGGGCAGTTGACATGACTACTCCCGAGTGCCCCCTCCAACAAATGGCTCTTTGGAGTGACTCCTTGGTATTTGGGCTATGAAGCAAGGCAGATGAACTAGAGTTAAAGTGGTATTACAAGTCCTGCTCTGAACCTGATCAAAC